ATGATTCAGATAATCAAAAAGGATTTGATTTACACATAACAATGTATGTTATTGTCCGCTTTTCACCCTCGCAAGACTTTTGAACAGGTTTATCTCTTGTTTCCTTTTAAGGATTGGGTTTTCCGTCCTTTCTGATTCTCTTTCCTTCTCAGTAAGCCCTTGCGTCTCAGTAGCATTAGCGCTTTGCTTAGACAATTTAGAAAAAAAAACATACACATTTATCTCTATTGCAAAGTGATAATTAATAACACTGACACGTAGATCATTCCTACTCCCGTTCAATACTCTGATGTTAAATGTCTTGTGCCAGGTTTGGTAAATGAAAATTGTGTTTGCCATAGATCAATGGTTGGCATGCTAAAATTTGCTGTAAGATCACATTTTCCCGTATTACATCCTTTTGTATACTGTTAGATATTGTCTTATAACTTTCTTTTAGTTCTTTTAGACGCCAATTATTATACGAGGTAATGGGATATTTAGAAAGACAGAGAAAATATGTTAATATTCGTCATTCTCCAAGGTTCACAATAGGCATTAATATATCTGTGATATACTGACACCTTAGCATAATAGAAGAACCCAAAGAAAGAAATTCCAAAAATAAATTATACAGTGTAACCCGGATATAAGAGAGTTGTCGGGACCGGAGAAGAAGTCTCTTATATCCGGGTTTCTCTTATATCCGGGTTTGGTCTATTTTATATACATTAACACAGGCTGGGACCAGAGAAAATCTCTCTTATATCCGGGTTTCTCTTATATCCGGGTCTCTCTTATATCCGGGTTACACTGTATATGAAACTTTGATTAAATAATACAGTGTAACCCGGATATAAGAGAGTTATCGACCGGAGAAGAAGTCTCTTATATCCGGGTTTCTCTTATATCCGGGTTTGGTCTATTTTATATACATTAACACAGGCTCTAATTTGGGACCAGAGAAAATCTCTCTTATATCCGGGTTTCTCTTATATCCGGGTCTCTTATATCCGGGTAACACTGATGAAGACACTGAACTACACAAATATGTCATACCAAGATGCAATATATACAAAAAAGCGGTTTGTGATACTAGTTTTCACTACGAATGCATCCCAAATTGTAATAATTATTGTAAGTGGATGCTTGGAAAAAGAGAGAAAATATACTGTTCTTCTCTATGGTCCATTATAGACATTAGTATATATGTAATATACTAACAGATTAACGCAATGGAGAAATGAGTTATACATGAAAACTTCTTATATACAACACAAAGCGCACAAATATAAAATATCCGGGTTTGGTCTATTTATATTAAATTAACCTTGAGCCATATTATGAAACCATACATACATACATATATATATATATATATATATATATATATATATATATATATATATATATATATATATATATATATAACCGTATTTTCGGATGTGTTAAGCTATATCATATCTGTATTCTATACACTAGGCATTGTACAGATCTATCTTTTACTATTTTATATTAAAAGAACTACTTGGATTATCCTTTCCGCTTACGGATCTGATATTCTCTCTCTCTCTCTCTCTCTCTCTCTCTCTCTCTCTCTGTATATATATATATATATATATATATATATATATATATATATATATATATATATAACGGACGAAACATATCAACACACGAAAACTTATGTATATAAAATTTATTCTTATGCAACAAATATTCATTAAAACAGATTTGATTAAAAACAACCGACCGACAGTCATAGTGTGAAAAATTATCTATATCATTTATTATACGTGGATAAATTATTAAGAAGACTGGAAAAATACTTAGATTGCATACTGTCTATAAGACTGTACATATTTGTGACAAGTTGGAAAATTTGATGATTTATTATACGAGAATAAATTAATATGACGAAACACCAGAGAAATTCTTTAATAAAATTCTACACAATCTGGAGGAGTGGAAATATTTGTGAAAAGTTGTTTACATATTAATTGAACGAAAACTCATTCAATATAGACAAATGGAAAAAAATAGATGTTGAGTTTTAAAAATCTGTAACTACCCCATATGGTATTAAAGTAAATTTAAAGCCTTTCTAAAGTGCAAAGGAAAGACTAACCTGGGGCAGGCATCGTAGTTGTAGTACAGCTGCCTTTGTGAATGATCTTAAGGCCTCAAAAGATTTCTGCTTTCATTTCTGCGAGAACAGTATCAAATCTCAGAGCAACGCTTCTTTTTCTACCTTTCGAGATGAGTGATATACTTTTGCAACATGATAATACAAGACCTAAAAGCTACTTACTGATCAGATATGGCTAGAAAAATCTTGCGATAGGCATCCAATATTCCTAAGGTAGAATCCCCAGACTTTCATCTTCTTCAACCAAACCCTCCTCCCCGGCTTGACAAAATTATTATGTAAAAGAATTGAAGTAACAGAAATGTAGTTCTACAGAAGGATGTTGAGAATACCATAGACCGAACATGTGAGCAACGACGAAGTTCGAGAGAAAATGAGAACTAAAAGAACACATACTTAACATCAGGAAGAGACAGTTGAAAAATTTGGGGCATATAATGAGAAAAGCGGGTTTGGAAAATTTGATACTCACAGGACAGATTGAAGGCAAGAGGGACAGAGAAAAACAACGCATAATCTACCTATCAAACTTGAGTAAATAGATGGAAGAATAAGTTTTAGGAGAGATAAGAAACAGACAAAATTTATTAAGTTCGAGAAAGGACAGGAAATTGTGGAGAGCCATGATCGCCTACATCCTAAACTATTACTCTTAATAAGTGAGTACAATCCTCATTATTTACCCTGTACAATATTCGACAGTAGTTAGCAAGGGTTTATATGACGTAAAACCTGTTTGAACGCACGGGGTAAAAGGACAGAGATCCCATTTGAACAAATTTAGGGAAACTAGTGAAAGAATGCCATTGCCTCAAGACTACTTTCAGTGTACGATTTGATGAACACAAACATTATGTTTTTTAGTAGTCGATAAAAGATAGCGTTTATTATTTTAAAGTACGCAATCCCGAAAAAGAAAAATAGCTTGAAGTTTATTTTTACTTTCCTTATCGAAAAATATACAAAAATTGTTGTTCTGCAAAAAAGCAACGAAAACTTTAGCTTTGACGCATCATCGTAACATTTAAAACTGCCAAACCGTAACCTTCCAACCTAACCCTAACCCTAATCCTAACCCTGGTGAAAGGGAGCTAATTAAATAAATTTAATATCCCCAATCGTTATCTAAAAAATTCGTCCTGGGTATGACAATAAACGACATCCGACAGCAAGGCCTCTTATCGGAAGGTTTTCAAGAACGTGGAACCACATCTTAATTGCTGATTTCCCAGGTTCACCTTGACCCGGGGTAGTAGCACCTGTTAGGGTCCCAGCTATGGACAAATCGTTAAACCTCAAACTGAGGTCAGAACAATATGGAAGTATAAAAATATAGTAAAAGTACTAGCAATACATTTTTTATAACAATAAGAATTAGCAGTAATAAGAATTAGCAGTAACAAGAAAAAGAAAAATTACCAGTAATGTATTTTTTGTAAAAGAAATGACTAATTCTCCCAAGAAAATTAAATTTTCGGCATTAAATTAATTTTCGGCCATAAGGAGTTTATATGCCGTAAACCAAACCAAATAAACGAAATGCTATTCGATATATTGCTATTTTTTTTTTCTTATTTGAAACTTTTGGCAGCGTTTGCCTCTTCTTGGAGTGAAACTGAAAAAATCTGAAAATGTGACCAATCTGGAAAACAATGAAAAAAAAAACCTACTGACGGAATATTAAAATGATTTTACTTTCCCAAAGCAAAAAAAAAAAAAAAAAAAAAAAAATGTAACAGACCTTTTTGGAGTCTTATGTACTTTATAATCTGTTTATCAGTTATTGGCCATGCGTGATACACGCTTAGGCGATCATATATCTTTCGATACATGATCTGATCAGGCAAATTTTTTATTTCCCGCAGTAGGTTAGTCTTTCTTTTTGCGGTTGACCAGTTGCCATCAAAGTCTATAGAACCCGGTCTGTCCTGATATTTACCCATAGCTGAGGGGAGAAGAAGCAGATTCATACCTCTCCCAAGGGTATTAGCACGTAAGTGAATGTAATGGATTGACTGGAATACGAACTCGGCTCTCCGATTCCTCAATCCGAACCGCTATCCATTATTCGACCACTTATACTTAAATAATAATAATAATAATAATAATAATAATAATAATAATAATAATAATAATAAAATACCAAAAACAATAGATAAAATGAATATAAAAATCGTCACGATAGAATAGCCAATACTTACACTGGACAATGAAAACACTTTGGAAAATGCACTAATATGAACATCGGCCAGCGCCGGTTACAGAAATAGAAGATGTCACCATTCTCTATGGGATTATACCATCCACACAGACAGAAAAATTGGGGCTGACATTAATGACTAATTGATATGGCTTGTCCAGCGGATTTGAATAAATTTGAAAACTATCAAAATACAAAAGACCTGAAATTGAAATTCGTGGAAATTGAAAACAAGAATCCAGTGGTAATAGGGTGCACTTGAGAAACCCCAGCTTAAGAGACCTCTTATTATACAGCAACACACTAAGGAGAACTATCATTATTCGACCACTTAGACTTGGTAAATAGCAGAAATAATAATAATAATAATAATAATAAAAATAATAATAATAATAATAATAATAATAATAATAACTTCTGTATGTGCAGTAATTAAGGATAATGACTTGGAATTGTTAATCGGAGAGCCGAGTTCCAATTTCAGTTGAATTCTTTATCTTCACTTATGCGAAAATACATTTAGGAAACTTCACCCAACTCTTTCCCCCTCCAGATATGGGATAATTATTAAGACTTGTATCACTAAATCATTATTATCCCTAAAAAAAATATTCTTACAATCTAAAAATATTTTTTAAAACTATGGTATATGCAGTAGGCTAAGGGTGATGTCACGTTGAAACACCGATTCCCGTACGATCACCGAAGGTAAGCAATGTTGAAACTCGTCAGTACCTAGATGGGTAACCGCTTGGGAATTCCAAGTGCTGTAAGCTTAGATGTGCGGGTGGTGTAATGGACTTGGAAATGTTAATCTGAGAGTTGAGTTCCAATTCCAGTTGGATTCGTTATATTCACTTCCGGGCAAATACCCTTGCAAAAGTTATTAATTCACCTCTTCTTCCCCAGCTATGGGTTAAGTAGTAAGACCTGTATTACTAAATCATTATTATCTCCAAAAAAGTCTTACAATCTAAAAATGTTTTCTTGCTTTAAATAACCTGTAAAGGGTTGATAAGCCGTAAAAAGAACGAATCAAACAATCAATCTACTGATTAAGCAGAAGAAATTAGTAAGGCTTGTAAACCATTATTATCGCCAAAATATATTCTTAAAATCTAAAAAATATTTCTGTCTTTAAATAACCTGAAAAGGGTTGATAAGCCATAAAAAACGAATTGATCAATAAAATACTGATTAGCTATACACGCATGTCTTTTAGATTTATTTACATTTTCTGGAAACTAAATGTATGGAAACTACCATGTCCACAAAGTGAGGTATCAGTTTATATGTTGAATTTAATATAGAATTGATCGACCACTCTCTATTCATTTTATAATTGCTTGTTTATCAAATTCTAATTAGGTATTAATCTACTCATCTCTCCTCAGCTATGGGTTAATTAGTAAGTATTTTATCATTAAATCATTATTATCTCCAAAATATTCTTACAATCTAAAAATATTTTCTGGTTTTGATTAATCTGTAAAGAGTTGATAAGCCGTAAAAAACGAAATTACCATCGATATTTTTCTATGTACAGTTAGCGTAACAGAATGTGGAATTGGCATGACAAATTCTGACTGATGCTGTTTCGGATAATAACCTTAAAAGCAGCCTGAATCGTGTTTCTTTGAGTTATAGGTTAAATAATAAGGCAGACTGAACTGTCTTGCTTTGTATAGGTACAGGAGAAAAATATTCGAAGTCCCCTTAATTAAAGTGAGTCAGACTGAGCTCTTTAGCAATGTTAGTGCAACTAGTCTAGGTTAAAAGACATCTCTGAATTGAAAACCAGCCTAAAGAAACATGGCGTCCGTCAGATCACCTTTGCCCTAGATCTGCCCACAGGTGCTGCAACTGTAGTACACTTGGTGCTTCAACATCACCACACCGGTTACGGGATTCGCGATTCAAAATTATTGACAGTATCTTTTGGTTGGAATTAATGGAAAAGCTATGAATGCTTTATCTTTGTTTCCAAATAGTGCTTCCTTTAACTTCCCTCCAATTCGTAACTATCTTCACGGCAGTATCTTCCTTGATGTCCTGTATTAGATGATAATTTTGGGCATCGAAATTCTTCATTCGTTTCGATTTCTTATTGAAAATATTGTTTCTTTTATTTCAGAGAAAAATAAAACTAAATTCAGGAATTTATATTTAACCTCTCAGCCATTTCGAAGGAAGTCGACATCAAAATGGAGAAAAACAAGACAGAATACAAATTAAATAAGTAAAAAAAAAAAAAGCAGTAACTGAAAATATAGTTAGGCTCGAAGAAAAATATTCTTTATTCATTTTTTCTTGTCCTTTCTTAAATTTTTTCTTAGGTTTAACCATGTTAAATCAATGTTCTTTTCGCTGTGGGTCACTAAATTTCCGTCAAGACGACGAAAAGATTTCTTACAAGAATTTTTCTTGTAGTTTGATTTCCGTAAAAATTAAAAGAAAAAAAAAAGTTAAATCATATATATTGGGTTGGTGCATAATCATCAGGCGTTTTTGTAGACGAGTTATTTGTTAAAAAAATTGCTGTTTTGTTTACTTTTTTTTAGTAAAAATATTATTTTATTTTCAGGTTATAAAAATGCGTGTCAATAAACATACTCATTTAAAAAAGTTATTGTTGAATTGTTATGTTTCTTTTTTCCTAATTATTCTCTAAAAACGTCTGATAATTATGCACCAATCCAATATATATATATATATATATATATATATATATATATATATATATATATATATATATATATATATATATATATATATATATATATATATATATATATATATATATATATATATATATATATATATATATATATATATATATATATAAATATATAAATATATAATATATATTTAAAACAAATAAAAAATCCTAAATATCCTTTATATTTTTTTTTTTTTTCAAAAATTTCTATATATATATATATATATATATGAAGATAAAAATATACGTTGTTTTCCTAATATCCAATTATGCTGTTTTTAATGTTAATATCTCAACGTCGGACGTTTCAGTCGAATAAACCATCTTCAGGACATATTATTAGACCGAAACGTCCGACGTTGACATATTAACATTAAAAACAGCATAATTGCATATAAGGATTTTTGTTTGTTTTTTCCGTATATATTTTTCTTCATACTGTCGGATCTATATCCATATATTTGCTTACATATATATATATATATATATATATATATATATATATATATATATATGAAATACTTTTTCCTTCTTTTTCTTGAAAACAATGGAAGAGGACTTATCAAATAACAAACAAGCAAACAATGCCATTGTGAAACAATAGTGCTTCTTGATAGCAGTTTGGTGAACGATGCGTGAGGTGTTAAAGTGATCGCCAGACTGGAAAAATTCCTTATCGACAACAGCGGTCAAAAGTTTAGGCCCAGCATTTCCAAGACCAACGGTCAAAAGTTTATACAACCAGCTATTGTTTCGCTCCATCACTTTTTTGCTTTATGTATATTTTTCCCAAACAAATGGAAAAAAGGAAGTGATGTTTCACATACGGCTTGCTTTCAAGCAGAATTGTTCATAACCATTTGTGGTTCTCACCAGTCGAGGTGCAATTGAAATAAACCGAAACGAAGTTGCATCTTTGTAGTGAGTAAACTGTTTTTGCCTATATGATAAAATTATAATAAATAATTATTGCTCTACTATCAGTATCGAGCCCTCTTTTGAATTAATGTTGTCAACGTTATTATTTATATATCATTTTCGTTCTGCTTGCATCGGGTATATATATATATATATATATATATATATATATATATATCCGAATGTTTGATAACTATTTTGGTTGCTATAACCATTTGATAACTATTTTGATTCTTATCAGTCGATGTGCAACTAAATGCACCGAAACGAAGTTGCATCTTAGTAGTGAGTAAATAGTTTATATGATAAATAACATATATATATATATATATATATATATATATATATGCGTCTTACTGTGCTTGTGTGAATTAATACTAAAAACATTTGTATCATGGTGGTTGACAAAAATGAGTCTGTTGAATCGATATTTACTAGTCATAGCTTATTCCCATAGCTACAAGTATATATTCCATTATAAGGATCGAACTCATTACATTAGCAAAATCTTTATAAATCATTGCTCCATGGTGAAGAACTTCTAGGGAATTAGTAACTTTAGCTTCATCTGGCACAAGGCCATAGTTAAAGAGCAGTCAGTGAGAATCAGACTCACCACAATGTTAATGTTTTGCGTTGGGCGTTTGTTAATTGCAGCTCTATGTACAAATGTTATAACTGATATTTACTGAGTTTAATTTAGTCTATTTACAACGTCCCAATAAAAAGCCCCCCGATGAGGATCGAACTCACTTGTAAGGTTCTTAACTGAGCCGTTTCGTGAAATCTGAACCTTTCATGCTGCTCATCTTGAAACAGGTTTCCCAGTTCTCTTTGTCAACGTCCCAGTGCGTGAAACGGCTTCGGATATCAAACGATTGCCTGTGTTGAACTTTTGCCAGAAATGTTCACTGCTGTCGGACATTTCGGCGGGATCGTGTGAAAGTGTCGTTTGCATAAACGATCTCGTGACAACCATGGCGAGAAAGCTTCGTTGAACCCGTGACTTGTTAAAAAAAGACCTTCAAGATGTGGATTACGATTTCGTGAGACGGCGTTTACATTATTAAACGTACCAGTCTTTATTCCTTTCCCCGTCAATATTAATTCTTTTGACCTATTTACCATTCTACTTGTTCTTCTTCTGTGTGTCGTGTCCCTTCAGAAGGTGGGCAATCCTGACTCTCTGCAACATCCTATATTTCTTAGTTCTCATCAATATCTCTTTTTTACCATCCGCCACTTCACTGTCCTGTTTTCTCTGACCCTGTTGCTTTCAATATATCATGTCATTGTTAAATTTTCGAAACTTTTTCTTATTATGTACCCGAAAAGCTTCATACTTCTATTGACGATTTTATGTATAATTATCCTCTTGGTTTTTATTTTCATTAAAACTACATCGTTCCTGTCCATGATGTTCTCAGCATCCTTCTGGAGAACCACATTTTGTTACCTCTAGTCTTAATTTTGTGATGTCAACGAACACTCGTTATCATTTTTGTGATGCCAACGAATACTCGTTGTCATCGTAATGCTCGTTTTAGTAGAGACTTTGTAATCGCAGATACAACTATAGTAACGCCGCTGAACAATACTGGCGTCAGACGCCTTCGAATATCACTTGCAATAATAGTACTTGCTCGATAATACTCGCTCGACAAGTAACCCGTATAGTGATCTGAATAGAGAAATAGTATAGTGAATAGAGTAGAGAATAGCGGTCCGTATAGTGATAGAAATGCAGATCCGAATAGGAATAGAGGATAGACTAGAAATAGAGATCAGTTGGACGTCACGCCACTTCATACTTACGAGTTTCCTCTCTGGTCACGTGGTCTACTTAATTCAATAATAGGATCGCCTGTGTTTGCTCTATGTTCAAACTCAAGTGTCGACAGCAACACTTTATTCCTATATAACACTTATCTTCATCCGTGAAGAAATTGTCCAACATTCACCAAGATAAAGGAAAATTGATATTACATAGATATTCAGCACTCTTTTCTCTGTTTCTAACGAAATTTTCCCTTTGCTTGTCCTGCACATCATATCTGATGCATATAACATGTGATTCCCACGTCTGTGCATCAAATGTGGTGCACACGAACCATAATTTTAAAAGAGTCGTTAAACT